TATCAAGATGCAAAGACATTTTTATTATTTATTTTTTCTATTTCGAGAAAGTAACCTCACTATGTTGCTGGGAAAGCTTCAGAATCCTAGGATCAAGTGATATTCTTGTCTCAGCCTCCAAAGTAGTTGGACTACAGGCATACACCACTGTACTCAACTTAGGGGCCGGGGAGATGGCTCAGTGGAATAAGCGCTTCCCTGGCAAGTGCAAGGGCCTGAGTTCAATCCCGGGTTATGCCAAAAAAAAAAAAAAGACACTGTACTCAGCTTAAAAGTTCTTAATGAAGCCTGACTTTTCTGTCCTTTCTTTTTTCTCCTGTGCTTTGAGTACTAAGAAACAATATAGACATGCAAAATGTAGCAACTTAAAACACATTGTACAATTCAAAAATAGTTTAGATAAATGTGGTAGAAATTTTGGGACATGAAGATCTATACAGGCGGATAGATAGACAGAGGTATAGATGTAGACATGGCTATGTATAAAATAGCTCAGGTCAAGCAAAATGAAAGAATGGGGGAGAGACAGTTTTTAGGGTTTTGTCAGGAGGAAAGATAAACCAGCAAGTTATTGTAGCTTGCTAGGCCTGTGCAGCTAAGCAGGATATAAAAACGTGTCTACACCTTGTCATGCTGTGTTATTGTGAAACTGCAAAACATCAAAGGTAAGCAGAATTGTTATAAAAGCAACCAGGAGGAAAAGACAGATTACCTGAGCAGAGTGGCAGTCAAATTAAGTAAGCTTCAATGCTGAACACAAAGACCCAGGGGAAATCAGAACTAACTATTCTAAAGTCTCTTTGTGTTTTATATTGGGCATCAAACCCCCAGAGTGTGGAGCTATATCTGCCCCTTTCCTGTTATTTTTTTAGTTTAAGACAAGGACTTACTAAATTGCTCAGGCATGCCTCGAACTTGTCATCCTCCCACCTGAGCCTTCCAAGTGGCTGGGATTATAGGCAGTGCCTCCTATTCCTAGTAAGAGTTTGGATTTTCTTTTTTTTAATTTTTACTGTTTTGCAGTACTGCAGTACATGTCTAGTCTTGTGCATGCCGGACAAGTGCTCTACCACTAAGCTGTATCCCACTCTCTGTAAAGTCTTTGTACTTTTCAACGGTCAGAAAGAGAGCTTGGTGACCTAAGTACCTGCCTGGCAAGTGCAAGGATCTGGGTTCGATCTCTGGTTCTGCATGCTGTGCCAACCCTGGAACCCTGGGTGTGTCAAGCCAGCCATCAAAACCAGTATTACACCTGTAATCCCAGAAGCGGGGAGGCTGAGACAGGAGGATCACTATAAGTCCATGCTGCATAGTGAGACCCTATACCAGATAAATAAAGATTAAAAAATAAAAAATAGAGGTGAGTTAGGTTGTCTTATGGCATTTGACCTTGTCAACAACTAAGAAACTTCAAAGTTACTACTAAAAAACAATACCTAATCAAGTTGTCTCTAAAGCAGTAGACATAATAAGAGGAGAAAAGAACAAAGGGCATGAAAAATAGTAAGTATGAAATAAATGGTACCACATATATGTATTTTAAAACCCAATTGTCTTTTAATTATGAATGCATATAAACTTGGGTATGTAAAGCAAAAATGTAAAATATGAACAAGGTTATTTCGAACTTTGCTTATAGAAGGGAGCGAATGAGTCCAGGAAGGAGTGTAAGGATACTCTGTATTTGAGTGTGTTTATAGTTTTGTTAAAATCTGAAGTAAGGAGCCAGAGATGTAACTCAGTGGTAGAGCACGTGCTTTGTAGTTGCAAGGCATGGATCCAATCCCCACACCAAAAACACAAAAGAAAACAAATGAAGTGAAGCAGTTGACACAACCAGGCCCACTCCTGACATTTGCAGGTCTTGGTGTAAGAGTACAAGTAGAGACTGTGTGTCACATCTAAGTATGTGGAAGTTCCTCACCAGGCCAATAAGTAAGGCATGGTTCTTCGCTGTGGTGATGAGCCCTTTGTGAAAAGTGGGGCACTTTACTTCCTAGCCACTAAGAAGTTCTGAGCCAGAGCTCCCTTCCCAGCCTGGGCTCCATTCTGCGCCTGTGGAAATTTGTCCACACATGTCTATGTCCATGCCCAGCTCTGCCCGTAACCCTTGGCTGCCCCTGAAGGCCTGGGGGATGCACACTGGCTGTACGGTCTACTTCCAGGGGACAGAACTCAGGAAGAAATCAGGTCATCCTGGGATACAGATCTAGGGATCACTGAGCAGGTGCTAATGAGGTCTAATTACCCGGAAGTATGGGTCAATGTGAGCCATGGAGGACACATCTTCTTGGCCCTCGAGATCCCTCCCCACAAGGCCCTAGCACAGAGTAGGTCCCTCAGAAGCACAGAGTCAGATTTTTAAATTCTATTTCACTAAAAACAGTGAAAGAGGAAAACGCAAGTGCCATTCTGTAAGAGAATTAGGCAGCACAGCAGGCAGCAGTAGTCCCACCAGCAAAGTGCAATATGCCCTTGGTCCAGTTATTTGGTGTGGCCCTGCTACTGATTTCTTCAGTAAAACTGGAGTGTATTTTTGCCCACCTGCCTAGTGAGAAACTGAGTGTTGTGATTTCTAAGATCCCTCCCACTGCTGTGATTTGGTGACATCTATAAGTCCCATCCACCACCAGGAGGAACAACTGGGATGGCAAGGATGGAGGAGGGGTGTAGCCTGATCTTATGTTACCCTGGGTTCTAGGGAGGAGGGATGTCAGACATCCTTTGTGCCCACACAGAAGTCCTAGCTGGCAAGGTTGCACTGGCTACAAATGATGACTTAAGTAGAGCATGTCAGCATCCTCTGGACAGGACTCACGCCAGTGGTGGGTGAGGTGCAGCAGAGGACAGGCCCTTTCTCACACTGGCTACATCTAGAACCCAGCCTGGGAGCTGCAGATGGCCAAGGACAGAAGCTACACAGAGGAGGAGCAGGTATACTCTTAGGTACCTACTCCCCCTTGCAGTGCAGGGCAGCTGCTCACCCGGCACACCTTGGCTCATAGAAGAAAGCAAAAGAAGGTAAGGAAGAGGGGAAAACCAGCATTAAGGGACAGAAAAAACATCTTTTCTCCCTTGCCTGCAGATATTCTGCCAAGTAAGCTGGCCTGGGCACCCCCTTCTCTGGTGCCGAAGTGCATGTATGGCGTTTCAGCCAAGACAACCAGAAAATGTGGTCTTTAGGTGTTTCTGTCTGTAACAAATGTCAACTCAGTAACACCCAGGACCGCTCCTTTTTGAAGGCCCTTAGGAGAGAGACGAAGGGACTGTGCTCACGAAATGGTCTCCTCAAACTTGAGGCCTGAGGAAGTGCCCTCCCTTACTACAAAAGAAATTGGGGGCAGGGAAGTCAGCAGGCTGCTCTGGCTAGCATCACAAAGGGGCTTCCAAGGCATCAGTAGATTTCTCACAGTCTGGATGTAGACAGGGTTGGGCTTTATTGAGGCCTCTCCTTGGCAGTAGATGCCTTTCCTCTCCTGTGCTCCTGTGGCCTGTGTGCAGCTGTGGTCTACTCTTCCTATAAGGACTCCTGTTACTTTTTCTTCTGAGAGCACCAGTCAGATTAGGTCAGGACCCACCTGCATGACCTCACATGACTATAATTCCTTCTTTAAAGCCCTTTCTCCAAATATGATCCCATTCTGATGTACTCAGTGTGACCAACATGGTGTGGCTGTGTGTGTGAGAGTGAATGTGTGTGTGAGAGTGTGTACACCCATGCATGCATATGCCAGACCTCACGTATGCTAAGCTATGCCCCAATTCCCTCTGTGTGAATTTTTGAGGGACACAATTGAATCCATAATAGAAGGCACTGGCAAATTTTGTGTACTAGAAGACTCTGGGGGGCAAGCAAATGACATCCTGAGATAAAAAGTCAGAGGTCCCTCCTTTATCCACAAGTGTGCATTCAGAGACTCCACATGAGACTGTGGATGGCGCCAAGCCCTGTGCATGCTCTTATTCATTACACAAACATGTCTGTTTGTGTTTAATTTCTAAATTAGAAAGTTTGATTTCTAAGTTAGGCATAGTAAGAGACTAACAGCAATAATTCATTGTAATGAGTGTAACTACAAAAACACACTGCGGTGAAAGTGATAAGAAGTGTTCTCTCTACCAATCTTACTCACCATATACAACCTTGAAGCAGGACAGTCCCACAATATTCCTTTTCCTATACTACAGCCACCCTTCAGTTGATGATGCACATGTTGCAATGCCTACATGTCGAGAGGAAGTGAGTTGCATGTTTTCGGAATGGTACCCACTTTAAACCTATGAAATGTCCATTTCAAGAATGTTCTATTTAATTTTTTCTGATAGCAGTTGATGCTGCAAAACTGAAAACAAAAAACAAAACCCAGGCTATGGGGGCAAGGGGCATGGGTAAGGATCGAGCCAGGGGCTGGAGGAACCCCTGTGAATTCTAGCCACCCTCTGGGAAAGCTCCATATTTCTTCAAAGCAACCATGGGGGCAAGGCTCTGGAAGGGCGGAGAGAGCTCCTCATCTTGGGGTTTTAAAAGAAAACACCTGGATTTTGATATGCAATGAAAGCAGGCATTGGGGTGTACAGCCACAAGCAGCCCCCCCACTGGGGCCCTGCAACACTGGATCAGGGCTCTACCCTGGGAGTGCACTGCCTGGAGTAAGGGGCTGCAAACTGGGCTGAGACTGTGGAAATGTCCCTCTGGGTTCTGACTATGAAAATGGAAAAGGTACCTGGGGTGCCTCTCAGTGAGAGGGAAGGCAGTATGTGGCTTTGGGGACAAGAGGGACTGAAAACAGGACAGCTTTTGAAAGAGAGCTGTGCATTCAACTTGGGAGATAGCATCTACTGTAAACAGCAGAGCTACCTGGGAAACCAGATCTCTGGCTGGATGTGAGGGGCTCACCCCACCCGGCCTGTTTGATGTTCCATCTCACAACCTGAAGTCATCCCCCAGATCTTGGAGATGTGCTGAGGCGACCTGAGCCTGACCTGTTTGCTTTCCGCAGGATGAATGAACGAGACCGCCTCCTCAAGAGGCTCAGCAGGAAGACTCCCCCGACCCTCTTCCGTGGAGGCTCCATCCAGCAGTGTGTCTCTCGTGAGTAGCTCCACCCCCCAGACAGGGTGTGAGACCAGGCAGGGAGGGTGGCTTCTGGGCTTCGGGATTCCTGAGTTCCACCCCAACACAGGAGTGTGGCTGGAATGCAGGCGAGTTCCTTTGCACTACCTGAGTGACAAAATCCCAATATGGTGACATCCTCCAAGAGAATGTTTTAAAGTTTAAGGTGAAAATAGCTCAGTGGATTAAAGCACCAAGCAGGTGCAGGGGCCACAGTTTGATTCCCAGCCTGCCATGCTAGTCCCTCCCCAGGGGTGCACTGAGATGGCAATTGAGACTGGGCGTGGTGGTACATGCCTGTAATCCCAGCTCTTGAGAGACTATAAGCAGGAGGATCACTGAGTCCAATCTAGTAGTGAGACCCTGAACACCCCTTCACTAAAATAGAAAAAAATTATGAAAATTCAATGGTATATATGTACATAGTCACAGGATTAATGCTGAGTTGTTAAATAATGATAATTCTTTCTCTGTCTATGTTCATCAATATTCACAATAAAAACTCTTCAGTCTACAAAAAATAAAAATAAAAATAAAAAAAATAAAGTTTAAGGTGATATAACTCCTAAATTCTGCCCCCCAAGGGCAGCATATGCATTGTTCTAATTAAAATTAGCATAGTAATCAAAACAATAACCCTTGGGAAGAGGAGGCTCTGTGCCTTGACCTGTTTAGGGTTACCATCTCCCCACCACCCGCACGCAGGACAGTGGAGAGTGAGAACCTGCACTTCGGAGCTCACAGGGAGCTGCGAGGTTCTTTTTAGCAATCCAGCCTTTCAGCTCCCAGCTGATGGGTTCCTGGTTGCTGTCCCCAGAGCCCTACCCATTCCTCCATGCCATAGTGCAACTCCTTCTCCCGTCTTCTACTGCCTGCTTGGGGCCTAGGAGGTGGTGCCTTGTAGAACAAGAACACTCAGTGAACATGAAGCACGTGTGCATACATTGTGCAGGTATTGGCAAATCTGCCTGGAGGCCGGTCAATGGGGAAGAGAAGGTAGGGTGTTGCCTGTCACCACTGTCCTGTAATCCACTCCCTCTGCTCATATCCCCAAGTGAAAGCTCCATGTGGGGTACACCCCTGCCCTTGAATGCACTGCCAGTCCAGGAGACAGGTGGCACCAGTCCTGTAACCATGAAGTGGAGGTTCAGATCAGGAGGGTAACTGGCCTAGTGATGCCCAGGACCCGGGGGTTCTGGTCAAGCTAGGAGGCTTGGCAGGACCCTCCAAGAACTGCTCTGCCGTGCACCCTGGAGTTGGTCTGCTTGTCTAGGTTCTTGTCCCTGCTCTGCCACTTTTTTGTGACTGTGGAAAAGTTATTTAATCTCTGTTTCCGCACCTAAAAAAGGGGAATGACATGAAAGCCTACCTGTAATTATTGGAGAAATTAAATAAGATCATGTCAATAAAGTACCTCACATATGTTAGACCACAGGAAGAATCCAATAAATGTTATTATTATTATTATTAGTAGTAGTAGTAGTAGTAGTAGTAGTAGTATGCCACATGCTGAGCATCTTTATATACTTACATGTTTCTTTACATTTCTATTTTAATATTATAGAATATTAAAATAATAATATTTATATTTAAATTATAATAATCTGTGACCTTACTCATCTTCCTGTGACGCATGCGAAGCACTTTCTGTGTGCTGGGTTCCGTGGGCCACAGCCCACATGCTATGGAACCATGTTCTTCACTCATAAATGTCCCAAAGTAACTGTGGAAAGAATGTAGGGTACGTATATGCTGAAATCAAAGGCCTAGGGAGAAATTCTACAGGCAATTATAAATGGCTTAGAACAACTTTTGTTTTTCTTAAGTTAATTTGAAAACAAAAGAAGAGAAAAAATCTACTGTTAATACCAGAAAAAGCATAACTTTTGTTTCTCACCACATTTTAAAACACCCAGTGACTAAACACCTGATAATTTAGGACAGTTTTGTCATTAACAACTCGATATGACCATCAGGCGGCCTGAACGTCAGGGCGCAAGGTCTGCACAGTACCTTCCAACTACTGAACGTCTTCCTGCATCTCCTTATCTGCCGTTTTAGACCTCAGCCACTCTGGGAAGCTGGAAGGAAACACTCATCTTGATAGGACTTTTAGTTCCTGCAGTGGTTTTGATACAGTGTGAGGTGTCCCCTAAGGACTGTGACATTTAATCACCATTGTAAGATATGAAGAAGGCAGAAACTTAACCCAACTATGGTGTTCAAAATCTGGGTCTTGGAAGGTGGTTAGGATTGAAGGAAAAAAACAGGGTGAAGGCCCCATGACACAATCCTGGGGGCTATCTGCAAGGAAGGAGTGTTTCCTGTGTCTTGCTGTGAGTGCCATGTGCCAACACGAGTACCATTACCAAGTGTGACACCTTGCACCTGCACCATGAGCCCTTGATTCTTTATAAGGCACAGAGGCTTAGGTATTTCATCTTAGCAACATGAAGGAAACCAGTACATAGTTTCTATGAACACCACTGTACAATAACTAAGATCCATACTTCTTCCATAGTCAAATTTGCTCATTTTCCCATGATCTTCTCCATTTCTGTGGGTGTCAGCCGTCTTTGCTAGACAGGAAACTACTACATTCATTAAAGGGCTATCCAAGCTTAGATTCAAAGAATGCTACATAAGGGAAATTTTATTCCAAAATAATAAAAAAAAAAACCCAGACATTTTGTGAACCTCATCAAATGTTGTATTTAGATAAAACAAAATGACTAGGAAGTTCACTTATTCTGCCATCTACTACATCCTCAGTTCTCTCCCCAGATTCTGGTTGTGGCTGCGTATTTAGGAAGCCAGCCAGGGAAAGTTCACAACTTGGGCCCACTGAGCACATCCTCTAGGCCCCCCTCAGGACTTTCTGGCTGTGAGGACTTCCTGAAAGATGAGCGAATTGGGAAATGTAAATGCTGGGACTTCCTCTGAGCTCCCATTGGATGCAAAGGGAAGCTTAATGTTCACCAGGCAGAATCTGGTAGAACAGATCCCTTTGTCAGGCTGTGGGCTGAGGCCCAGCAGGTGGGGCCAGTTGAATGGTTCTGGGATTTGTTGTCCCATCCAAACAGACTACAGCTCTAACTCCCACTGGGCCTGGCTTCTAAAAGGAGAACATTTATATGAACCATGGAGACCACACCCTCTTCCTACGGTAAATTTGTCGGGCTTCTTCCACTCCTTCTTAATTTTTAGAATCCACTTCAAATCTTAGCAAAGGTTAAGAAAGTCTTGATGCCCAAATGTTGGGAATATTTTAGAGCTACAGCATTGGGAACTCAGGATGAACATTACACAGTGTTTTGGGGATCCTGTGCTCACCTGGGAACAGGCTGTGCAGCAAGGTGAGCGACGCCTATCTGCCTGCTCTCTGGAGGGCAGCCTAGCTTCCCACCAGCCAGTGTACGTCCCCCTGCATCTGTTATCTGCTATTGCAGACCCCAAAACTGGAAGGAAGCATTGATCTTGAGAGGGAAACTCTTCCTGACCCAGCGTGGCCTACTCAGCCCCTCCCACTCCACGACGAAGCCCTGCTGGCAAGAGGCTACTTACGTCATTTGAGGAATCCATGCAGCCACAAGATGCAAATATACCTGAAATTGGGTACCTACTGGGCACAGATGTGTTATGGGTAGGAAATGGGACAAACAAAACAAAGCTTTCAGGGAGGGGACAATCCTCAAAGCTAAAATATCTTTTCCAAAAGGACAATCCCCAAAATGTTTGAGACAGGGTCTTCCTATGCAGTACAGGAAGGCTGACCTTGAGCTCATTATATAGCCCAGGCTGGCTTCAAACTTACAGGGATCCTCCTTGCTCGGCCTCCTAAGTGCTGGGATTACAGATGTGTACCACCACAACCAGCTTAAAGTGCTTATTTTTAATGTCTCATTAAGTCCCCCTCATTCTCTACCCAACCTTTCCCCCAAAAAATGAACAGAAGAAGATTTGTAGAAGTTATTCTAATGCCTTCACTGTTGAGATGGGCTTTTTATCTTCTCTGGTGGTGCAGAGTATAAACTAAACCAAGACCCAGGAAATTCAAAGAGCCTGGGGTCACATGGCCAAGTAGTAACCAAACTGAGACAGAAAGCTTCCTTTCTTGCCCCAGTACTTAGCCATTTAGATCCCCTGGGTCCAAGATGGAAGCAGAGTGAGTGGAGAAAGCTGCCTCAGGGTGGACAGCCCAAGAATCCCCTGCTTGTCACAGAAGTGTTTATAAAGAACATTTACAATTGCCTGCAGAGACCAGTCCTTGGTCAGACTAACTCCAGTCAGACTGAGGAGCCTGCCTTGTGCAGCTGCTGTAGCTGTGGTAGCAGGAAGGACCATTATTCCCAGATATATCCCATCCAGGGACAGCTGTTCTGTGACCCTGTGAGAAACACATCAGCTCTTTACTACAATGTTCCTTTTTAAAAAACCAAAGAATGAAAACTGTCCAAGTTGACCACAGCAAACAGCCTTTTTATGAGAAGACACAGTGTTATTTGCTAGCTTTTGCTTTGAAACATCCCAGCAACAGGCAGGTCCTCTTGGAATGCACCACAAAGAGTACCTTGTGTGGGGCTTGGGAGGGGAGGTGTGCGGAGGAAGGCAGGAAGCTGGAGCAGCTCCTCCCCGCTGGCAGCGACACCTTATTATCCCTGGTCAGCTCTGAACGAGCAGAGTGGCAGAAACCTGAATGCTCTCATAGGAACAGATGTGAGAGTCAGTACTGGCTCTTCAGGGCTTGGAAGCAGATCCTGAGAAGGCTGAACATCTGTGAGAGTCAGAGCACAGCACCTGCATGGAGAGTACCTTAAAGAAGCTGAAAGGCGCTGTCAGGGCTTTGTGCCTGGGCCAGAACCAACAAAGCCTCCCCCTTGAGGCTGGCTCCACCTCCGGCCTGCTCTTGTGCTGGGTGTGTGAGGGCTTGGCCTGGACCAGAAGCCTCCTCCCCATGGTGGGACTTCTTGGCTTATGGATTGTGTTTTGTTCAAGTCCAGGTGAGTTGGTCAACAAAGTTTGCCCGGGTAAGACCCCTTCTTGGTGTTCTCAGGGCCCACTGGCTGGTTCTGCCTTCACTGAGGGACAGTCTTTCCCTCCTGGGCCCTCTAGGTCTCATATCTCCTCCCTGCCGTGCAGCCCGTGTCTTCCTATGAGAGCATTCAAATTTCTGTCACACTGTGTCTTCAGAGCTGACCAGGGATAAAAGCTGTCGCTGCCAGCGAGGAGGAGCTGCTCCAGCTTCCTGCCTTCTTCCGCACACCTCCCCTCCCAAGCCCCACACAAGGTGCTCAACCCCAAGCCACCCCTGTAGGCCCTGCCCCCGGGGTGGCCTCTCTGAGCTTGGGCTTTCTCAGGCAGTGGCTGGCAGGCATGCTCTGGTGAAGGGCCAGGAGCCAGGAGAAGGGTCAGCCCATGGAGAGTGAATATGGCCAGTGTCCTCCCTGTTGGAAGGAACAGTTGGAAGAAAAGCCCAGCTTTGAGCTTATGAACACCAAACCTCTCTCGGAGCTGGTAATGCAATAAGATGTGGATCAGCTGTCACACATCCTGGGTTTGATCCCCAGATCTGCCACTCTGCCTGTGACCTTGAGCAAGTCCCCAACATACAGTATCCATGCCTCAGTTTCCCCATCTGTATCACATGTCTCAGAGGGAGGCCAGGAGGACTGAATGAGCTATCTGTATGCAAAATGTACAATAGTGCCTTGGACACATGTTATTTAAAAGGGACTGGTGGTGATTTACTTAATTATTGCCCTGTGAACTAATTATAAGAACCAGGCTTCTTGTGACCACAGGGCCAGTTCTTAAACCCTGTGTTTTTATTTACATGGAAATAAGCCCACTTCAATTACTTATTACCAGTCTGAGTCATTCCAATTTAAAAAGAGCAGCTTTGCCAGCTTTCACTATTAGCATGGTGTATGTTTTTCCTGACTTGTCTTTGGCTTCCTAAGTTAGAGGGCGAGCCTACAGCATCAGGCCGGTGGGGGCATAGCTTCCTCTTAGCTGGCAGTGGGAAGGTAGAGACAGGCACCACTGGCCTTCCGTCATTGCTGCCCACACACAGCTCAGCTGCAGCCTCCCAGAAGTAATAAACCCACCTGCTGCGATTTGATGTCCCCTCCAAAACGCATGTTGAAATGCAGCTGCCTCTGTCGCAATATGAAAAGATGGCAACTTGAAGAGGTGATTACTTCCTGGGGGGCTCTGCTCACGCTGCCACCAAGGGAGTTCTTTAGTTATCTCAAGAGTATGGTGCTATTCCACCATGTTCTGATGGAGAAAGACCCTCACACATAGAGCCCATCAATCCTGGACTGCCCAGACTCCGGCACAACCAGCCAAATACATTTTACAAAATCTTCTCAGTCTGTAGTTTTGTTACAGCACCAGAAAACAGACAAGGCCCTTCCCTCCCCTCCCCTTCCTGTTCATCTCAGGCCTCTCCACCCAAGGCTACCTGCAACTCAGCTGTGATGGTCTCCAAGTGCTTTTCCTTCAGCTCAGAGCACTGGCCTGGCCTCTCATCACTCACTCCTCCCATGTCTTGCAGATGGGTATGCCTTTTCCCAAGAAGAACACGGAGCTGTTACTCAGGAAGAAATAGTTCGAGCGTACGACACCACCAAAAAGAAGTCAAAGAAGAAATAAGCTGCAACTTTTCCTGACTTTGTGGTTCAAGGGAAGAGGTGGTGTTTGTTGTATCCAATGTTAACTCTTCTTTGTCGGAAGAAACTGGTGTCTGCAGCCAAAACAACTCAAAAACACATTTCTGTGGCCTTAGCCGACCAGTTTGTTAGTTACATATTCCTTTGCAAGCCCGGAGCACAGACCGACCAGTTTGTTAGTTACATATTCCTTTGCAAGCCCGGAGCACAGACCGCAGGGAGAGCCATTTCTCCCTCTTCCTTTGTCTGCAGCGCTTGGCCCACACTTCTGTTTACGTTGTTACGAAGCACTCAACTATGCTCTGCGAGGTGTGAAATTAAAAACACTATGTTTCACCAATATTTAAATATCAGTACTAGTTGTTCTGGGAGAAAGCAAAAGGAGTTTTATGTTGCATGAGACCCCCAGAACGGGTCTCTCGTGTGGGGCACACTCACTTCCTGTTTGCTAACTCCCTTCTTAGGTCCAAGGGGCAGCAGGCAACTTCACCTTAGGCATGTTGCTCACTCTCTTGCTTTCCTGTTTTGTTTGTATGAAGTGGCATAAACGTCTTGATTGCAGTGAAATCGCAGAGATCTCCCTTTTGCCCGCAGCAAACTTGAGAACATTTCCTTGGATCTCTTAGCCACATTACCAGAAGGCCAGCCAGCTGCCCCATGGATTCTCACGCAGCTCCCTCCCCAGGTGCCAGCCGGCTGCTTGGTCCTGCCACCATTGTCCATGTGCCCCCTGTCCTCAGACCTTCTGCGTAGCTGGCCACTGGGCTCAGTGCATGGCAGCTGGTGCAAAGCCCACCCTACAGTGCACTTCGTCTTGTCCCACTGCAGATTCGTATATGGATGCCAGAAATCCCTGCCTCTACCACCTATTTAATTCTGTAACTAAAAAAGAGAAACGTTGCTATTCTGCATATACCCCAGACAGTCACCTGCCTCTTTCTGACAAGGGGGTCCTGAGGGCCAGGGTGGTGGTGGGAGCCTTTGCCTGATCCAGCTGTGGGTACTCATTTCCCAACCCTGATCACTGGACCTAAGCAGCCACCTCAGAACCCACACTTGTTTCCTGGGGGCCTCAGAGCAGTGCTAAACTTTCACTGTTGGGAAGCAACTGAATTTGTAACATGCCTGTACAGTGAGGGGAGATACCTCTCACTCTGTAGCTCTAGAATCAGGAGGAGCAAACACACAGGGAGAGAAGAGGGCCACAAGGCTCAGGAGGAAGAGGACCGCAGATGTCCTCAGAGACAGTGAAATGTGCCCTGGATTGAAGGCAGACATGAGGATACCTCTGCCAGTTCTCCCCTATAGAAACTCTCATGCAGAAGCCCATAGCATTACCACAGGCTGCTGTGGACAAGAGCTGAAGCAGGACCTGCCACACACTTCTAATGCAAAGAATTTCAAACATCTCAAGGAAATGCCCCTTCTAAAAATACTTATTTCACTTATCTAGACAGCTTTATACACAGGCCTGTCCTGAGTTCTGAGAGAAAGAAAGGGAGTACAAGTCACTGACTTCCCTGTTGTCGCCCCACACTGTGGACTGGGAAGGAACCTGCTGGCAGGCAGAGGAGAACCAGGCCCCTCAGTAACTGACTCCCTGGAAGCGCATCCTCTCCTCTTTGGTAGCCCAGGCGGATTGTTTGATGATTTACATGCATCTTGGCAGCTGTTACTGGTTAGAATGGCATACAGTTCCTTGAGGAATGATGTGATAACTTGGGAAATAAAACAGTAGTGCACGCTGCTTCTTGATACTGTATTTTTGGAACACAACTCACTGGGCATTGGAATAACGTAGAATGTAATGTTCACTGACTTAAAAAGTCAATTCTTAGGGCCAGCCAGATAGCTCAGTGGATTAAAGTGCCTGCTTAGGCAGAGCACAGAGGCCGGAGTTCGATCCCCAGCCTTCCGTGGTGCACCTGTAGTCCCAGCTCTTTGGGAGGCTGAACACAAGAGAATTACTACGAGTCTGATGTACATAGTGAGACCCTATAGACCCTGAAGACCTGGTCCTAAATACATTTTAAAAAAAGAAAGCCAATTCTCACTTTCGAGGTGACTGGAATACAGAGAAGTCTGAAGTCCTAGGCCAGAGCAGAAAGTTTCCTTTCCTTCCTCTCTATGGCAAACAAAACACGCAGAAGTACTAGAGTGCCAGGCAGTTCAAATCCCTGAAGACTGCCAGGCAGGGATGAGGGCAGGGGGTTAACATATCAACCCAAGGGGCCATTCTTTACTGTGCCTGCAGAAAGGTAATGGCCAAAATATGGAAGAGAAAGGAGAATTAGAACTGAACGTGTGCTAGGTATCGTGATGGTTGGTTTGCTTTCATCTGGGAACAAAACTGATTTGGGAAGACTCAAGACTCAGGTCTTGGTCCAGCACTTGGCCCTTTCTTGAACTTAAAGCCTTTCAAAGATTTCTGAAGGAAATGTGTTTTTGTTTAGGGTTTTTGTTTTTGTGTTTGCTTTGTATTTTATATTTTAGGTTAAAATCCAGTTTGCATTTTCTGGGGTTGAAGTACATGTTCTTCCTTGAGAAGTAGACTAAACAATCTTTGCAATAATGAAGTTTGTACACAAAAGAAAACATTTCTGGAAGGGATGCCTTTCTAGTTATTCTCTCATGTGATTAAGCCTTCTTATAGATGGGTGACTAAATTGGTTTCTCAGCAAGGCAGCTGTCATGACGCGTGATGTATAATATTTAGCCTGGGCCAGCTAGGGGCCATGTCATTTGTCCTATCTTTAAATTGAGGTCAGGGTGTCACACACAGCCCCTCTCCAGGGAGCGGAGTAGACTGGACTGGCTTGCCTATCTGGCTGTCAGCCCAGTAGAGTTGTCACATGGGGCTTGTCACACTCCCACAAAGTAAGTGACTGCCAGGCAAGTAGGTTGGGCTCATTTAGCACTTCAGGGCTGGTGGGCTGGGCTGAGTTGGAAGCCCAACCCAGGCAAACCTTGCATCCAGAGCTGTGTGCAGAAGGTTGGCTCTTTGTGTGAGGCTGTCCTGTTCAGGCCAACTGCAAACAGGCAAGACAAGCCATTGTCAGAGCTCAATTCTGGGTCCTGCTACATGGACACCATTCCCTTGGCAGCTGTAGAAAGCACATGTTGTGGAAGAAGGAAGAGGGAGAGGGAGGGAGGGAGGGAGGGAGGGAGGGAGGCGGACCAGGAAAAGCCACCTGTTTCTGCCTGGAAGTCTGCATAGACACAAATTGCCACTCAGAGCAGACTTGGTAATAATTTGGGAAGTATAGCTAATGTTTCTGTCTTGTCTCAATGCAGAATATTCCAGACTTCTTGACCAGTATTGTTTTCTCCCACCTCCCAACACACACAAAACCAAAGACATAGTTTATTTGAATCAGCCTACCACACAAAATCTGTGCTTTGGAGGAAGGGGATGGTATTTCTTTCACATTTGTAGAGATATCTTAAAAAATGAAACTAGGATTCAGCAGAGCTTGCCTGAGAACTCTGTTGACATTTTCTCTTACCAACAAGGCCTCAGATATACTATAAAGAGGTGACAGGAAAATCATCAATAACTGTCAAAAATCAGTGAATAATGAAAAGAAAAGTGAGTGTGAGTGTGGGTCACTAATATTTGAAACTGCATATGGCCATACAGATTACAGACTTCAAGTATGAATATTGCTTAAAAAGTTACAGCCTATAATCTCTTCATTATAACAACAACCTCCCCACTCTTTAATCCATAAGCAAGAGAATTTTCTATCAGATGTTCCTGTTGCTAGAGATGTATGTCTTAGACCATAGGTCGAATGTAATGTTTGTGGAACTGTGCTGTCGGATAAGGTGATCTTTAGTTTTGAACATGGGAAATGACTACACGCATTTCAGTCAGGGTTTGAATTGCTGCCCTGGGTCATTGTCCCAAGGTAATTCAAGGAGTGATTTAGCTCCAGCATTTGAAATGTAGCCTCCAACTCCTGGGATCCATTAAAAACAAACAAACAAACAAACAAACAAAACTGTACACAGGGAAGCAGGCTAAGCAGAACTTAACATAATAATTTGGGCAAAGAAATGAGTTTATCAGGTGAAGTGAACACTTGGCTTTCCCTGTCACACTCATTGCCTTCTTCATGCAAGTTCTCAAATTAGCAAAAAGAAGAACGAAGGAGATATTTGAAGTCCTCTCCTTTCAGAGAACAGAACACGTCACTCAGTTTTGCTGATGGTTCTTCATTGGCCCCAGGCAGTTATCTGTCTCAGGATAGCCTAAGGGGATGTTATGAACTGATACTAGCAATTTTTCCATTTGAAGCTGTGGGAAGACGGAGGGGTTTCCAAGGGGTCATAGTAGAAGTGAGGTTCCAGACCTTATAGTGACACTATTTAGCATTCTTGAGAGGAAGGGACTGGATATGCTCAACTTCATGTGTATCTTTCATTTATTCATTTTTTTTCCTTAGCATCCCAATCTGTCTAGCAGTCCACCTTTCCATGCCTACCCTGTTCCCCTCTGTTAGGTATGAGTTATTTCTTGAGTAAAAACAAAAGGGAGGATGGGGAGATAGCTTGGTGGTCTAAGTACCTGCCTGGCAAGAACAAGGACCAGGATTTGATCCTGGTACCTCATGTGTGCCTCCCCCCACTCCCCAGAATCCAGGCCACCATGCCATCCACTGAAACTGGACATCGTGGTGCACACCTGTAATCCCAGCACTGAGTCAGGAGAATCACTAGGAGTCCCAGCTGTGTAGGAAGACCCTATACCAAATAAATAAATGATGATTTTTAAAATATATATATATATATATATATATATATATATATATATATATATATTATAAAAGGGGGGTATGACATCAACATAAATCTAAGTGGCCAGGGCTACAGATATAGTTCAAAGGCATAGTGCATGTCTGGCAAGCATGAAGCCCTGAGTTCAATTCCTGGTACAAAAAAAAAAAATCTAAGTGGTTGAAAGCTACAAGCAAATGAGAAAGAAAAGAAGGGCATGCTCACCCTCACCCTTAACCCCAGCTACAGTCCTCCACCGTTAACCTAGGACCAAGGCCTCCCCTCTGCCAAGGGAGGAAACACAAAGGAGCGATTCTTTTTATATCCAGTTGGCTCATTCTCCAATGACAATCTCTCTCCCTGGCAGCCTCCATATATGATA